ATGTTATCACTAACAAAATTTTATTGCAGACTGTCTTTGATTTTCTTTTATCTTTTTTTAACGAACAAAGTACCATATACATTTAAAACCAGAAGTATTTATTTTGCCGAAAACAAAACTACATTTTAATTAAATGAAACAAGCAAACAGTTTTTTTTTTTGAGTTGAGTTAGAGTAAATACAATTAAGTATTAATATTATTAGACAAAAACTAATAAACCTTAATTAATAATTATTGTCAGAATATACATATCTGAACATTCTAAAAGAAAATTAATTTGTACTAGTTACTTTAAGTTATACATTTATAGTTAGTACATATGTAAGAGTATCTTTATAGTTGAAGAAACACCGTTTCTAGTGTATAAATTCTACAAAAAAGAATGAGTAGAAAGTTATCAAAATTGGTGTTAACATTCACAGTGGTTCAGCAGCAATAAAAACATTCTTGATAAGAATTGGTACTTAAAAAAAATATACGCCTGACTACTTACAATAAAGAATAATTAAGTTTTGTACTATAATAAATAATAAAAGGTCTACTGGCCATCATAGACAAATCACAAACATATAAATAAATTAAAGATCTTTCTTGTGGGTATGTCTATAATTACAATTTATGACTTGTGTAAATTAAATTAATTAGGAACAAATAGCCTCAATATCTGAGATTCCAAAACCTATGTACTCTTTAAGCATTAATAACTGGTACCAACTCTTGAAGGAGTCTACAAACTACACTAAATAATTGTTAAAATAGAACTTAAGGGGGTGGATCCTTGCATATTTTAGAAGCCATTTCACTCAATGGCTCCAGTTCTTTTCTACTGACCAGATCAAATTCTGTTACAAAATAGTAGAAATGCTTGTAACAAGTATTAACGTGAGCCTCCTAAAATGTTTTTATTATTTGCAAATGAATTACATTAGGAGGATTGCAATAACTTACTGCTGATATTGTGACCACGTTTTGAAAATGATGAATATAAACGTGGACAAAAACTCTGTGCAGTCTAGCCAATATTTTACTGCAGAGATTCTGAAATCCCTTTGGAAAAGCTAGATCAGATGTACAAGGAAAAAGAGCCTGGTTATTAATTTGAGCCTCTATCCAATCCATTAGATTGTTTACATATTGTCTAGCTGGCAATGGTGTGGGCTTCTTGTATCTGTAATCAAAATAATGTTTTCTATTTGAAGGATAAAATCTTCTTAGTACCTACTTATCTCCATCTGCCCATAAGTATTCAAATCTCGCTCCTCCTGACATTGTAGGGCAAGTTTGTTCAGTGCAATAATCTGATATAGTTCCATAAATTAGATTAATTCGATTAAAAAAATCTACAACTGTAACAAAAATAACTGTTAAGAAGCTTATCTGTTTGTACTAAACTGCATTACCGTGAACAGCAATCCAATCATTCAGATCTTCGCCTGGGGGCAACCTTACTGCAAGGCGCAAATTTATCCCTGAATTTAAACTGGCACAGGCCTGTTTATGTAAACTATATCGTATTGTACCATGAGCAAACTTTTTCTTTGGACGAAAAGTCTGAAAAATTAGAGGAAATAGCTTGTAAAATATTGTTGACCTAACCTATTTAAATTTGTTATTTTTAATTAAACCTAGCAGAATCAAAAACAAAAAACTTACCCTTCCCTTTTGGAAGAAATCTAAAAAACTATTAAGTGCCATCGTCATTAATTAATTGTTTCTGGTCATTAAAACAACACACAAAATTAATTGTAACCTCTAACCTGTTATGTCAAAACCAAAACGTCAAAACAATTAAAACTGTCAAATTTGAAATATCAACAAAATACTGCTCTCTATTGGCAATAAACTGTAATTATTTAAAATGGCGGCGTAGCTTGTGAAATAAAATTTAGTGTTTTACAAAATTTTAAAAAAGTGCCCGAACGGACTACTATCCATTAAATGATAAACCGAAGCCCACTTAAAATGGGTTGAATATTTCAATTTGTCTCGAACTGTAGTAGAAAAGAACGAATGATATCAAGAAATATTATACAAGTTTTGGCAGGTGTCCTGCAACATTCTGTATTTTTTTTTCCTTCGTAAAATGAAGTGCTTTGTGATTTTCTGAGTAAAAAAATGGAGACCAAACTGTGTAGAATATGCGGTAAACTTGGAGAAAATAATGTGCACATATTTAAGACAGAAGGATTGAAAAATAAAATAGAAACATGCCTACCAATAGTAGTAAGTACTTTTTGAATTTGCAAGTTTAACTATTTTACCTCTTTCTACAAAAATTAGAATGTTTGTTATTGTTATTCTATCACCGCTTTATTGCATTGGTAACGTTATTTTCTTGTCTGCAATGCTAGGTTTCACAGTACTGCCTGCTGCCCGATACAATTTGTTCAGAGTGCCTAGAAAACGTCGAAAATTTTTACAGTTTCATAAAAAACTGTTTACAGAACATAATAGTTTTGGAGGCTCAATATGATATCACAGAATCTTGCCTAAAAACCAAAAGAAAACATGAGAAAAGCTCTCTTGCAGATATATCTGTCATTAAGCATGACAAAAACATTCAGACAGATGATGATGACTGTTTATATTTAAGTCAGTGTAATTTCACTAAGTTAGATTTAAGTGTATTAGAAAAACTCGATAAGGCCCTCTGTAATGCTGAGAGCATTTTGAAAGGCAAAGATGCCAAGTTGACATCACGAATTTCAAAAGTTAAACCCAAAATTAGGCTAGTTAATTATGAAAATGAGACTGATTCAAATTCTGATGAAGAGGCTGAAACTAAAGGCACACCTATAACTGAAAAGGTGTTGACAACTCACTCACAACCGGTTATTGTTGCCGATCCATCAAACACATGTCGCAGCACATTCAATTCAAATCTTGGTACACTAAAGAATTATTTTGATGATGCTGAAAATAACATCATAAACGAGATAGCACAACGTAAAAAAAGAAAGGCTGAAGAAATTGGATCTGACAAAACAAAAATTTTCAAAATGGACACCAACAATAAAAGAAAAAGCAAGAATCCAAAGAAAGTTAAACCTCTGGAGACACAGGTAGTAAACGAAGATTTAATTGAAAAATGTTTTGATAGTTCCACCCAAGATATAACTGAAGATTTTAGTCAGAAATATGTTGATAACGACATTAATATGACAAGTTCCAACAGTTACCAGGAACATACCAAAATTGGGAAAGTACTAGAGGTACCTATATGATTACATGTCAGTCTTTAAATAGTTTGTTTTGAATTACCTTATTTTTTCTTTCCTTCAAAGAGGAACTGGAGATAGATTATTTAATCATTTTTAAAAAATATCTGTAATTTTGTACAAAATAAAGTCCAAATTACATATGTACATTATTTTTTTTTTCTATTTCTCCAGTTCCTCCTTAAAAAATTGGGACTTTTATCTAGATTTTATCTTAGCCTAAAAAAACTTTTCCTGGTATGTTTTAGACTGAAACTAATACTTTATCATCGATACCCCAAGTGTGTTTGTTGTGTGACATGCAATTTCCTGGACCAAGCTCCTTAACAACGCACGTATACGAAACCCATGGGATAGATATGGCCAAAGTGGTGGCATCTTGTCCTGTAGTCGAGGAAAAGAAAAAGAAAATTCCAAATTTGGTCAAAATCACTGATCTGAAAAACAGAAACGAACAGGGTCAGTAAACAAAAAAAAAAACGATCTGTTACCTAAAATTTTAAAACAATTTTAAAAATTAATTTACTCTTAATCTCGGTTGTTATTACAAATTTGGCTTTCATTTTTTTTTAATATTATTTTAGTGGCAAGAGATCCTTCTGCTAATTCATCTTTCGACGTAACGAAGCAGGGGATTGAACAGCCGATCTTAATACACGAAGATCCACCCCAATTGCAACCGTCCTTCGTCTGTCCTTTGTGTCCAGCGGTTCAGACATCTAGGCCCGAACTTTTTTCCCATTTAAGAGCCAAACATGCCAAGCAGATAGCTCTCATGTGTAGCCTGTGCTTCCATATGGCTAGCACTTATATGAAACTTGCCGCACACTTAGAAATTTGCAAAAGGCAATGCAACATACCGTCGAAATACATTTGCAAACTTTGTTGTTATCATGACGACAATTGTAAGGTAAAACGATTTTCCATTTGTTATTTTGGAAATTTATTTGTACCCCTTTGAAGTAATTTTTTTATATATTGCTGTGTTAATCATGGACTAACAAGGCTTATAAAAACTTACATGTAAAAAATGTCTTGTAATGTTCACTACCAATAATCACTTTTTGTGTCTAATATATTGCAATTTATAAAATGAATTAATGCATGTCGAATGGGTCATTATAAACGATGGCATGTTATGATATTAGTCACTCCTATTATTCACTCATTTATTAAACAAAGCTTGAATAGCTTCATTTGTTATGTTGATAAGTCGATATGTATCTTATTTAATTATTATTTTTTAAAATTAACTGGCTCGTATTACCAATATCGTATACTGACTCCTGTTTGATGAATTTTAAGATTTACTTCAATTTTTTTCTTATTTCATTTGTAGGTGGTGGAAAACCACATTCCTATCCACGACTTCATAATTACCTGTTGCAAAAAGCAGCTTCGTATTTTCGACCCAAGCGACTACGTCGAAATCAATCCCATTCACGAGGGCAACTCAACGAAACCCTACACATGTTCAGAATGTGACACCGGGGGTTTTGCCACCTTCAAGGAGTTCAGCACACATCGTCGCAGTTCTCATCAAATCTTCCACTGCGACTTGTGCAACAAATTCTACGGGCGCAACTCTCACCTGTGGAAACATGTGAATCGTCTTCACAAAGGCCATCCCAGTATAACGTGTCAACTCTGTTACAAAACCAGTGCTTCTAAGTATCATTTGGCGCAACATTTCAACAAAATTCACAGCGCAAAAACGTACCAGTTCCATGATAAAGAGGAGCCTGATAACGTGGAAAACTTTATGAAGAAAAAATTCGACGGATTCGATTTCCAATACGTCAAGCAAAGTTTCATGCGTCAAGAACTGATGGAACAGGACAAAAAACGGAATTCTAGTGAGAATTCTGAAGAAGAGGAAGAAGACGTTGATGAAAAGAACGAAGACTGTACAAAGGTGGTGCCCCCTAAAGAGATTGACGCATCGAGTGACCTTTATACGAATATAATAACCAATTACACGCCTCCAAGAAATGAAGGAGCCTATAAGTGCCCTAAATGTTTCAGAGGATTTCACAAAAAGGCGCTACTGAAAAAACACAAGAAAAACTGCAGACCTCGTCTACAAAAAGACCTTTTGACCCGTTGCAAGTCGTGCTCGAGAATATTCAAAGACCGCCAAAGCCTCGCAAAGCATCTCATCAACTACCATTCGGAGTATGTGTGCGAAATATGTAAGCAGAAGGTGCAGAGCAAGTGCGAAATAGTGTCCCATATCCGCTTCTCCCACCCAAATTGCCACTTGTTCTGTCACAGTTGCGGTAATATCCTTAGAAGCAAGGTGGACCTTGCAGAACACAAAAAAGACCACAGGAATTCTTTTGTGTGCCAGTTTTGCGGTGACATGTTACCCACAAAAATCAAACTCAAAATGCACATACTAAGTTTGCACAGAAAGATTCTGAGCCTGAGTTGTGGTATTTGCTTGAAACTGTTCGAAACGCAACACATTTTACGGGATCACGTGCAATTGGTGCACAAAAACCACTTGTCGCCTTTGACTTCGTGCACTGTGTGCGGGAAGAATTATGGATCCAAATGGAAGACTTACGACCACTTGAATAAGTCTCACGGACGTACATTCAAAGCGTGCAAAATGTGCCTCGAGGTGTTTGATACAGAAGATGACCTCAGATCACACTACGACAGTATGCACGCAAATATAAGTCTGAATAATCTGAATGCGTCCAATAATTCTAATAGTAAAGTTACTGCTAGTGTTTCTGTTAACGTAGAAAACAATCCGGGTAAAAATAACATAAAAAAAGAAGAGTTTAGTAGCGATTTGGAAGGAAATAATGAAGACCAGGAGGCCAAGAACTCATCCAGTGAGATATCAAATGACACAGATATGTACCAGCAGCTCAAAACCAGTGATTGCGAAGACTTTTCAGCCCTGGCCGATCTGCCGGTTCAAGGTGAGAAAATTTCGCTGCTGGAAAAACGTTTACTAGGCGGCGTGTCTCAAGAAGTCGATAAAAAACTTTCGAAGACCCACGAAACCACTAAACCCAAGAATAGCGTAATCAAAATCGAAGCCAAATTTGTCAGTTACGAATCTCCTTCCAACTCGAACTCCAAACAACCAGAAGAAGCACCTGACGTAAACGGAACTTCTTCACTGGCACCGTTTTCTAACAGCTCCAAAAGAACCGTTTACGTCAATAGTAACGATCCGTCAGTTTGTGAGATCTGTTTAAAAACTTGGCCAGCAAAAAAACATCTTTGGCAACATTACATTAGATGCCACAAGCGGGTCGCAGCCACTGTGTGCGGAATCTGTCTAAAAACCAACGATACATACGAAGCTTTGCAAATGCACCTTATTACAACCCATCCGACACTACTACATGGACAAGGTTTTGGTTCGAACTTCATTTGCAGAATATGCGGACGATATCACAATGCCAGTTCGAAATTAAAGTTGCATATGGCCATACACGAAAACTTTGATTGGTCTTTGCTGGATCATTTTTATCCGAAAAATAACACAGACTTGTTCGAAAAAGATCAGCATAACAACAAAGAAGAAGACGTAGACGAAGAACAGGAGGACGAGGAAGACGAAGAAATGGATAACGACAAAGCAGTGATAAATAACGGTTACAACCACGAGAATTACGTAAAAGAAGAAGCGGAAGACGATGAAGAGGTCGTTAATTATGAAAGTTTAATAGAACAAGTGGAAGTCGACGCATCTTCGGAATCTGAATCTGACTGTGAAGTAAGTAACACCGTTGAGCAAGTAGAAGAAGAAGATGAAGAAGCCAATTCTGTCACAACGAGTGATAACGAATCGATTTTATCAGAAGAAAACTCTTTGGAGAACAGGATGCTTCAGAACATGCTCAAAGAAAAAGAAAAGTTAAAATCTTCTTTGGTTGTGAAGCAAGAGGTAGAAGACAAGGAAGAAAGGGAGGAAGAAGATGAAGAACAGAAACCGGTTGTGGGTGGGCCTTTCGAAAATCTTCAGAAATTTTATGCCGAAAGTACTAAAAAACTACAAAAGGAAGCATTAGTCAAACAAGAAAAGGAAGAAGAAGAAGAAGTAGAAGACATGTATTCAAGTTCCGACGATTCCGATGATTCTTCGGATTCGGTGCAGACCGGGTCAGACGATGTTAAGAGTGAGTCTTCCGACTCGCAGTATTCAAACCCTGTCGAAAACGATCCAAAATCCGATGAGCTCGACTCAGCAATACGATCGATCAGTTACGAGGAGATGAATTGCGAGAACGAGATCCTCGACGACGAAGTTTGCGACATACACACGCACACACTCAACCAACGTGAGATTCAATCGGCTGTGGACAGTATCCTGTGAATCAATATTGTACCAGATTTTCGTAATTTAAATGGTATTTAATATTCTTGCTTGAAACAAAACGTAACGAATTTAGTGGGGATGTAGGGCTCTATCTTTTGGAATTGTTTGCAGACTTTTCGTCAGTCGCAGACTAAGATGAAATATCTCAAAATAAGTTTAAGGATTCATCGTGGCTTTTCAGCTTAAAAAAAAAAACATCTTCAATCTCAAACGTCGACCGTAAAAGCTGGGAATCATTAGGTAAAGGGGAGAAGAAGCAATAATGAAGATGTACAGGGTGAGTCACGATTGTACACTAATTTAATGTTTTGTTTCAAGCTGTTCCCCCACTCCTTATATTAATATTTGTGATACCTATTAATCTAAAATATTATGAAAAAATGTAACACTATCAGTATTGTTTTCGCTCTTGAGCGTTACCCGAGTTTAGGCTGATATAAAATACTCGAACCGTTTAAAATATTGTTCTAGTCCTAAAACTAACAATTTTTCGTTTCGTCGTTTAGAATTTCTTTTTAATGATTACAGGGCGATAATTGTTTCCCATTTTTAATCCGTGTAACATAACAAGTAATGGGCACATGTCATAGAAATTCGCGCTGTAAATAAATTTGTTCATTTTGTAGAATGAAAAACGTAATTCATTAATTTATGTAGATTCAGTGTGAAGTACAAATTGTTTTTCCCATGAATATGCGTTTTTTTTTTTTAATTTTTTCCTAATGTACTATAGCAAAACTGTAAATAATTTTTGTAATGATCGTCGAGTAATATTTTTTTTGTCAATTTTCTTGCAATAAACGTTATTAATTATCTGTGTTACCAAATGAAAGGCAGTATAATAGTAATTGTGTGAAGTTTATAATAATAACTCGAAATGCTTTTGAGTTTTAGTTCCTCATACACAAGTCTTATTTTTACTGTAAGGACATCTTAGAACATGTAATCCTAGAGACAACATTCAATATACAGAGGAAATCGCAGAATTTCTTTCTTTGTGATGATTAACTAGGACGTAGAAGGTTATTTTTCCTTCTAAGAGTACATGTTTTAAGAAAGATAACATGTAATTGTAATACGATTTTTCGTTTATAAACATTGCAGGTTCTTGTTTATTTTTGAAATGAATGTATTTGTGATTATTAATTGCGGGAACGTAATTACTTCTTGATAATTAATTCTATTGTAAAATATTTTTAAGCTTTTGATTTGCTCAGATGTTAATTATTTAGGTAAGCGATTTTGTTCAAATTATTTTCATTTTTATATGAAATACTCTAACTTATTGTGTATTTGTTTCTGCAGTTTTTTTTTTCATCAAGTTAGGTGAGTGCCATATATTTTTTTGTACATTTTTGTATTAATATTTTACAAAGCTGTGGTAAAGTTTGCATTTTTATGTTATTATGCATTTCCAAGTTAATTTTCTTTATAAGACTGTTTTTGCATAGTAAGTTAACAACGTAAGAACTATACGTATTTAGTGTAAGTTATCCTTTTTTTAATAATTTATTTTTGAATTGTACTGTGTAATTTGTAAAAGTAGTTTTTAGTTTCTTTAAATGATTAAGCATTCCTTCATATTAGGCGAATACACTGTATATATCTCAATGACAGTAATAAACAAATTTATTTTGTATCAAGCAGGATCCATTCCCAAGGATTCCCCTAAAAAAATTGCAAGTTTCAAAATTTAATGTATATTTTATTTTATTGTTCCGTACCGTTACATATACGGTAACCACTATTTTATATCTATAGTTGAACCTACAGAAAGAAAAAGTTGAACAAGTCATCTATCTATGGAAGAAGTGGAACAAGTTCAAGATGGCGGCTGTTAACTTGACGTTTTAACTTTTTTCAAACATTTTTTAATCATTTAATATATAATTTAATTGGTTTATTTCTGTAATTACTTTATTTTAAGAAACAAAAACAAGTAGCCTTTTCTTTAAGATAGTTTCGTGGTACCATCAAGCAGTTAAGTACGAGTTGAACGACACAAAACAAAAATAGAAGTATGTACCTAAATAGTAATGTAATTAGGCGTACAAGTAATTAAAGAAGCATTTATCATAATGTTTCGTAGGACATATGAAGAAGTCAATTCTTTTAAAATGAAGTAAGTGCTGAAATTAATTGATTGAAACAAGTACCCGTCTGTAAAACAACAAGTTGTTGAAAGTTGAAAATGGAATCTATGCAGTATGAACAGGCAAGAAACATGACCCTTTTGTTTTTTTTTGAACGTTTATTGGACAAAGGAGAACCGAGAACGTTGCATGATTTAAGTTGTCAGTTTGGCTCAAAAGGCTTTACCAAAGAGATGAGACAAATAGCAGGAGGGTCACAGAATGGCCTTAAGAAGTTTTTGTTGCAGTATCCTTCACTATTTTCTATTGATGGGGAATATGTTAACATCAACATGTTCCAAAATCATGCTGACACAGTACATAATAGTGTTGGTGAGTGTTTGTTTTAAGGTTTACCTGTAAAACCATTTATATTTGTGTTTATTTATACTAAGGTCATAAAGATTACACTGCCCAAGCAGTGGAATACTTTAGTGAAAAACTGGCTCAGTATGGAGAGGATACTGAGGTTCCTATTCGAAGTCTGTTAGGACACCGTTCTCAGGCCAGCCCTGAGATCAGGCATGTTTCTGGACAGCACTTCCATGAATTCCGTGACTTTTTGCTCAAACACCCTGACACATTCTTTGTTTCTGATGAAAATGAAACAGTAACACTAAAAAACTTCAAAAACGTCAAGTGCCACATCCAAGAACTCCACTTCAATCCCACCATCAATATTGACCCTGAAATCACCCAAAACGTTCTCGATTTTATGGCGAAATGCATAGAGGTGAGATTAATTTGTTAATAATGAAAATTCATTCTCTAATTCTTTTTTGTTAAAGCTTAAAGGTCCTATACTTGTTGAGCAACTCTTCCAAGTGGTCAGCTGTAATTTACCGGAAAACATGTGGACGAATCTCTTCAATACTCCAAGCCACCTGACCAGCTTCCTTCGTCTATTTAATGACAGCTTCCACATCCAAACAAATCTGGTGACCCTCATTCAACAGCCAAAAGTCAGCGAAAAGCATATCAATGCCCAGATGGCACACAGCCAGTTGACTTCTCTCCCTTCCATTCTCCCCCAGAACTCCAGAAAAGAAATCAGGTCTCCAGCAATGGATTATCCCAAGTTAAAAGTAGAGGACACCAACAAGAACAATGATAATAACAGTAATGGGATTGGGGACCAGGAAAATGGGATTAAGACAAGTCCTTCAAAAGTGGTAGTAAACAATCGTCAAGCAAGTCCTTCAGGAATGATACAGCAACAGATGAGCCCTAAAAGTAGCGTAAACGACAGGTTGAGACAGCCAAAAGTTCAACAAAAGTTTCTAGAGGCACAGAAGAGTAAGGGGGCCGAAGGAGTCGAAGCGAGGGTGGCATCACCAGTGGAAGAACCCCAAGACAAAGGAAAAGGGATTAACTTTAGACTTGGTAGGTTTTTTTTTTTTATTAAGTCCTCATGAAATACTCATTTGTTATCTTTTCTTATGTACCTTTTATTTTAGTGGCAATTAAATAAATAATATAAAGAAATAATAATAATTTATTTACGTAATTTTTATTAATTTTGTTTCGTAGGTAAATTATCAAAACAGTCTTCCGATTCAAGTGACAGTTCTTCTCAGGAACAGCGATCGTCGGTGTCTTTGAAGCCGCCTCCATCTCAGAATCAGAGTCTCAAGCAACGGATTAATTCGTTGGTCTTAAAAACATTACAAGAAAATACAGGCAGGGACCGATTGAATCTTGTGGGGCAACAGAACCAGAGTCTCAGTGAAGCTGGAAATTTGAAACTTCTACAAAGCACACGAGTCATATGCAACGTTCGAGAATGCCAGATCGTTTGCGACGAAATTACCAAAAAGAAACGTAAGTCTTGTTTTATGATTAAATACAATTAATTAATTACCTTGAATTTTTGTAATCGCGAATATGCAACCCAAAATACACCGGCACATATGTGTTGCAGTCAATCAAATATTCAATTATTTTTATTTGTATATTTTTTTTATTAACAGCTCTTGTAAGAAACGATAAGAGATTTAGCGACAATAATAACGAGAATTCAGCGTTCTGCTGGCCTTATACAGAAGAGAAAGTGGCCGTCGGTTTTGATTGTGAAGGGATCACGTTGGGTATTAAAGGTCAGATAACCCTCATCCAATTGGCTACAATGCAGGGCTCAGTTTACATCTTTGATCTCATTTCCTGTCCGAAACTGATGGATGCTGGGCTAAAGGTTCTTCTCGAAAATTCGGATGTTATTAAAGTAAGAAGTAAACAATTTCATAACAATTGCTCTTTTGGTTTTTTATTTGCAAAATTTCGTTTTCTTTATTTATTAATAATTACAGATTGTTCACGATTGCCGTAACGCTTCTGTGAATCTTCACAATCAGTTTGGGGTGACTTTGAAGGGTGTATTCGACACACAGGCAGCGCACGCCGTCCTTACACTCCAAGAGACAGGTCGTCCTGTGTACAAGGCGAAAAGCGTGACTTTGAACGCTCTCTGCGAGTTCTATGGCGCACCAACGAATCCAATGAAAGAACAATTGAAAAATAATTACAAGAAAGATGTGCACTATTGGTCGAAGAGGCCGTTGTCTAAGGAGATGGTGCTCTTCGCCGCTGCTGACGTTTCGTGTCTCATCAACAGGAAGATATATTATGCAATGAGTCGCACAATTGCTCCTGAGAACCGGAAGTTGACGGTCGAATTGTGCCAAGAACAAGTAGGTATTTAGTTATTAAGTTTATTAAAAAAATTGTTTAAAACAAACACAGAATTGATTCATCAACAGTCTTAATTATTAACCGCCTGTCACTCATTTTGTGTTTGGTTTAATTTAGTATAAAAGTGCAGTTTCTGGAATATAATCTTTAATGCTTTCAGATTCTCACGCACATCGACCCGGAGGCGGTTAAGTTTGAAAAGAGGCAACGTAAAACAGCTACTGAAGTGGCTGAATTGAAGACGAAACTGGCTCAACCGGCCAAAAGTATTGTACTAAGCAATAGAGAAGTTCGTCTTTTAAGGTAGTTATTTAAACTATAATTTAGTAAAAAAGCTGTAGCCTGTCAAGAAAGTTAAACATGTAAGCAAGTCATTAAATGTTTCCTTTTTTTTTTTTTAGGTACATCGATCTGACAGACGAAGAGAAAGAAAAGTTAAAAGCGTCTGCAAAAGTGGCGAAGAAGCTCGAAAAGCTTGAGAACCTTGGTCAAGATCGAGACGGTGACAATAGCTCGGACGACGACGAGAACGACGCCGATTACACTAGTCTGGATAGCGACGTCGTCACGTCCATTTCACCAAGAAACAATTCAGAACCCACAAGCCTCACTGAGTCAATGCAACTGATGGACAACGTTTTAAACGATTCGAAAATAGACAGGATTGAAAAGTTGGATAAACTGGAAGCAATTCTCAGCGCCGCAGCACTTCTACCAGGCGTCTCGCCGCCACCATCGACAGCAGCGACAGCGTTCTCCACCTCCTCTGACACTAGTCGATGTTGCACATGTGGTGGTCAAAAAAACAGTGGGACTGATATTGCAGGGATGATCGAGTATGTTCGTCTTCTGTCTCCGAGTACACAACCTCAGTTTGTTTGTGGAGAAATGGGTGTAGGGCGAGATACTGTTACACCTTCACCCCCGCCTCCAGACGACAATAAAAGGAACGTCAAGACCCAGACGCTCAGCACCGGAGACGTCGTCGTCACGAAAATACATTTCGACTGAAAGGTAGGATTTTTCGTTTGTATTTTTCGTTTTGTCGGGCAGGCACCGATTGAATTGGCCTTATTTGTACGAATAGGGAAGAACTGACGGCTAAAAATATTGTTCTGTGGTCTTTCTTGCGTTCTTAAGAGGCTTTAAGATTTACATTATTGTTTATAACAATTATCAATAGGTTTATCACTTAATAAAGTCATAATAAACAATTTAAAGACATTGAAGGCTCTTGGTTTGTTTCGCAAATTTATTTAAAAAATTGCCATTAAACCATTTTTGAATGAAATGCTAAAAACAGCAAGAAAAATTTACCTGTATGTAATGATGAAACAATTTGAAAGTGATTTATTAATTAATCTAAACAGTCGTCATTATTAATGTAGAATGTTTAACCACATATCAATAGAGTTGTTTTTTAGTTTGTATTTTTATGTTAGTAACATTAAACCAAGTGCCTTTTATCGTTTTAAATTGTTTCGCGACAAAGCACAGAGCAAAGCTTTAGCCAGGTCGATTTATTACTTAATTGATGTTATGATGTAACAGTTGTAGTATTATGTTATAAAAGTATTTTTTGTTTCGACTACATATTTATTGTTTTTAAACAACATTCTGTCGTCAGTTAAGGCGTTGTATATAAATAGACAAACGTTCGTACCATTTTATGAGGGTAAATACGTGTGATTCTGAATAGTATAATTATTTTATGAAAGAGGGGTGTTTTATAAAAAAAACACGTGATTTTTTAAGCTTATACATTTCTTGTGCAAACAACAACAGAACATGATATTTTTATTTAGCTGACGAAATATCTTTCGTTCAATTAAAGGCTGCTTTTTTGTAGGTAATAACGTTTAAATTCTGATTGGTAGCAATATGATCTTTTTGCAACAATTTCATAGAGTACTAAATCACTTTATGTCGAATTTTAATTGATGTTTGTTATAAATATATGTACTTTTGATACATTCCCTTAATACAAAGGAATGCTGAGTGGACAACAGTCATTCCATAACAAAAATGAGACTGCAAATTGTTTAAACAAATTTGTGCAAGTAACATTGATTACTTTTTGAGAATACCCTGTAAGACATAGGAATGTCATGTTTATTTACATATTACGTAATGTTTATACACCCACAACTTCAACTGACACTTACGGGATGCATGAAAAAAATTTTTGAATAACATTATTGAGACATGAAACTTTAATAATTTTAGACTAACTTTGCATTCCAAATTGAAACGGATCAAAATTAACCTCGTCACCATTTTCTTTTAAATTATGTTCCCCAAAATGTTACATAATATTTTGAAAATTGTTCTTTTTCCAGTTAAATCGTTGTAGCTTGTGTGGAATAACGCTGAGTAATAGGTAAGAGTACAAAAAACTTAAAAATAGCCGTTTTATCGTCCTCTTTGAAATACAAAAATTTTTTGATGCCCCCTGTAGATGGGATTTGTACGACGTTAGGAATGTACGCCATCTACTTGTACTGTAAAGGTCACGAACTATTGTATAAAGTTAATATACGAGGTACGGTCACAAAATGTCATGTTTTGTTGCTTTTTCGAAGTAAAGAATTGATAGAAGCCTTTAAAAGTGCTCTTAAGAAAGAAATAATAGTAGGTTAATTTTTATAAGGAAATTTCGACGACCCAGGTAAGATTAGAACCTTTTGAAAGTTAGGTAATTTTGACTGACGATGTTTCAGTATTTTGATTTTAAAATGCGTGTATTATATTTGAAAGGTTCTATTGTTACCCATTTTATGAAACGGTAGAAATTATTACCGTTTGTTTGTATTCTAAACTGGTCTCGTCCCCTTAATGAATTAAAAAACAAAGGACCAGGATGTTATGGAATGTGTTGACTTGTAAAAAAACTCAAAAACGGTGCCATTTTTACAAATATTACTCGAAATTTTCTGCGAAAAAGTAAACGCGAGAATCTCAAGCCAGTTTTATGCTCATAATTTTTTTAACAAGTCATCTACTTTCCAACCACAAAATAAAGTATATTTTGAATGGGGAGTGCTTTTTTGAATTACTTTAGAAAATAAATGGCACATGGTAAAGTTTTAAATACAGGAAAATGTGTATTTTTACAATGATGCAATAATTACGATTCTAGGTGATATTTTTCTTGTATTAATTTTACTGTTATTCATTAATGGTTGTTTACTAAAAAACTTTTCTTATACTTATATCGATATTATTATTGTATTCGTCCCATTAATTAATTAGTAAATACATTAATTAATGTGATANTGGAGGCGCCGGGCAACGCACGATTTGTGAGAAACTTTAAACTTCCAATTTTTGTATTAGGAGAGCATAAATTGCATCGGGTCTTTTGACTAAAAATCCGAACTTCGGAGCCTTCGACTACTATAAGTCAGATGGCGCCACGGGTATGTTTCTACTAGGCGCCGGACAGGGAACATGGTTTATAAATTTTAAACAAAATTTTAATGGAGGCGCCGGGCAACACACGATTTATGAGAAACTTTAAAAATCCGATTTTTGTATTAGGAGAGCATAAGTTACATCGGGTCTTTTGACTGAAAATCCGAACTTCGGAACCTTCGACTACTATAAGTCAGATGGCGCCACGGGTATGTTTCTACTAAATTTTAAGAGCAAGCTTTCACCGCTCAACCACAGGTGGCGCATCATATTACTCCAAAACAAATAGTATACGGAGGACATCAAAAAATTAATATGTACAGCTACAGGGTTCGTCAAGAAGGTTATTTAATTTTTACTAATAATTAAGGGAAATCTCGCAAATACAAATATGTTAAGTGTTAATTAAGAATTATATGTTTTTTTAGCTAAAATTTAAGCAGTTTTAATTTGAAATTTATATGATTAATCCATATATTTTTAAATTTAACGTTGTATGAGAGAAATTTCGACTACCATGGGTCAGATGGCGCCCTGGGTATATTTCTAATAAATTTTCAGAGGAAGCTTTAGCCGCTTAACTGCAGGTGGCGCGTTATATTACTCCAGAATAATTAATATACGGTGGACGTCAAAAAATTAATATGTACAACTACAGGGTGCATCAAGAAAGTTATTTAATATTTATTAACATTTAAGGCAAATGAATGAAAATCTGGAAAATACAAAAATGTGAAGTTTTNTAGTAGTAACGGATTACTGTAAAAAAATTTGGAAAATGACTGCAATTTTTTTAATCGTGGCATTATCTAAAATAAAACACATTTTATTTTATTCATTATTATCTAATATTTTACATTTATAATATACAATTTCATTTGAGTTACAAGTACCACATACAGGTAATTAAATTACAAATGCCTCATAGTAACTATGATCAAATATGACAGCTATGACATAATAAAGGTTCGCAGGAACCTACTTTAACTGCTTTTTTCCCATTTAACATAAAAATAATTTAGGATAATATACATTCAACTTCAGTTTTTTTTTTTTATACATCCTCTATACTAAAACACAGATAACAGGTAGTTTATTATATCCAATTCTGGATGTAATAATAGCATAGCTGACGGATATTGGAACTAAAGTAACAAACAGGTAAGTACAAACAGCCAGTTTATTGTATCAGGATGTATGCAGGACGATTCAACGGTAAACGCCACCCCAACTTACAAAAAGATAAAAACAAAAGGAAGTTGAAGAGCTTCGGTCTACAGCGTAACGTAACTCTCTCCAATCTTCTTCAGTTAGAAACAATTGAACGAAAAACAAAAAAGATATAAATTAATTGGTGAACGTTTGTAAAAATTATTAGTAAAAATAAATACTTTACAATTCAGTAACTAATAAATTTAAAGTAGGGCGGCGAGTCGCAGATATCATCCCTTACACTAAGAACAAGGCAAGAAAATTCAAACTGAGAAAAAAATATTGTTCGCTTATTTTGTTAGGCAATTTTAAGGCGAAAACCAACAAATAAAATCTTCGTTATACATACAATACTATGGCACGCATTCTTTTATTCAATATTTTACTATTGTTAGAGGTTTCTAACATTTAAATCAGTCTTATAACAGCAAGAACAAAAGGTGCAAAGCAATAAAAAACAAAATTATAATAACAATTATTTAGTTTGCTGTAAGCAATTTAATTACAATTTTTTTAATTATGCTATTGTAACTGATCCAATCGTGAAAATGCCATACTTTTAAGTTAAATAAAAAAGTCCCTTAAGACGTCCTAACAAAATAGCAACAACTTTACGTCGTTATGTTATATCAAAACACTCTGTATATTAGAAAGGAATGTATACAATATGTGCTACAAAAACGCAGCAGGTCACGTTAAATAGTAAAATCAATAATGTCACGTTGGTCCAGTACAAAAAAAAAACAGTAACATTGAAAAAAAAAAAAACAAACGATTTTTAAAAAGTGTAAAACAATCGAAAAAGATAAAGTGGCAGTTAAAAATGAGTATTATTGTTAATATTATTATTATTAGGAACAGCCAAAAAGGGCCAATATAAAGACATATTTATGGAGTGCTATGTGTATATCAATAAAAAAAAATTAGAAAAGACGGGATGTAAAATAAAAAAGTCACTATCAGGTGTCTAAAATAAATATTCTTACTAGCGTACGTACGACACGTACATAAAATAATACTGAAAACAATCCCAAATTAAATCAACTACATTGGCAAGTTCGATAGGGACAAAAGTTTGAATATTGGATATTATTATCAAATACCCGGAACTTTATTGTTATTATTATTACAATTAGGTATATTAATTTAAACGGGTGTCTTTTGATGTCTCTTTTTTTTTTTAATAAAGCATGTCACTGCTGGCTAGGGACGGTAGTCAAATATACTTTTCGACTCTAAAAACATTTTCGTTACAAAAAACATCGCAAGCGAAACTGGATAGAAATTAACAACACAGATGATACTTTTTACTGTACGCATTATTACAAGGGAAGAGTTCGACGTTGTTTCTTCTACCTCTTCACCGTTTCAAACTTTCAGATCAATTTAAAGAAATCACAGGCGCGCGTCATTTTATTATTATTTTTTTTTTGAACACT